TCACTAAGCTTTGTGCTTACAGTGTTTGGTGTTATTTGTTTCAGGTACTAGTGATGACCGTGGGAAGGCGCGGGCTTGATCAGTACACACGCATGGGATTTATGATTTTGAGATCTTGGGATTTTTGTATGACTTGGATTGAGTTTCAAACATGGTTGTTTTATGAATATTAAGTGAATTATGTTTTATAAAATTTGAAAATTTTGTTTTGAAATTTACGGTGTTACATAGGATATGAGATAACTACACGTATAATTCCTATCACTGGAAAGCTAGGTTGTGTTTAATGTGTCACAGCTATCTGATAAACTAACTTATTTTTTTGAGATTTTTAAAGTTGTCATGTTTAACAATCCAAAAAGTAGGTTATAAGCTATCTTTTTAAAAAGCTACTTAAGCTATGCTTTGCGTACCAGCTAAAAAGTTAGTTGATAGCTGAAAAGTTAGCTGATAGATAAAAAACTAGTTGGTAGCTAAAACTAACTGATAAAGATGATGGTTGGTAAAACTAGCTGAAAAGCTAGTAGAAATATATAAAATTACATAAAAAGATATTTAAAATAACTTGTTTCTATAATTAATTACGGGGTATATTTGGAAAAAAAAATTGAAAGCTATTCTAAGGTTATGTTTAGCGTACTAGCTGAAAAGCTAGTTGTTAAACATTACAACTTAAAAAAGTTCGAAAAATAAGATAGCTTATCAGCTAACTGTGGCGCGTCAAACACAGCTTAATGTTATGTTTGGCGTACTAGCCGAGAAGCTAGCTGTTAGCTGAAAAATTAGTTGATAGGTGAAAAGCTAGTTATTAAATAAAAAACTAGTTGATAACTGAAAAGTTGGTTGATAAAAAATGACGTTTGGTAAAACTAGCTGAAAGATATGAAATAACATAAAAATGACATTTAAAAGAATGTGTTTTTATAATTAATTAAGGTGTATATTTGAATTTTTCTTAAAAAAACTAGTGTAAATAGCTTTTTAAAAAGCTAGCTTATAGACTACTTTTTGGTTTGTCAAACATAACGCCTTAAAAAAACTTGAAAAATAAGCTAGCTTATCAGCTAGTTATGACGCACCAAACACAACCTAAGTAGCTTTTTAAAAAGCTAGCTTATAAGCTACTTTTTGACTTGTCAAACATGACAAGATTTTTGTAGTTAGAAAGCGAGTAGAAATAATGGTCTTGTTCGTTTATTTATATTTGTGAATGTTCGTTTACTAATTTTCATTTATGTTCTTTTGTTTATAGAAAAAATTATCGAAATCGTCCGTGTGGATTTGCCAAAATGTTGTGTTTGGTCCTTTTTTTGTACTTGGATCATCCCTATGTTTTGATCTTGTATGGTGTAAGTCTCTGTCTAATAGGAAATGACTACGATGCCCTTAATTTTATTTTATTTTTTTAATTTTTTAATTAAAGAAAATAAATAAATTTATTTATTGATAAAGGACCTACCTAAAACCCTACACACTATCATCCTCGTATCCTCTCTCATTTCAATCATTATGTCGTCATTGAACAACACCTCTAGCAGTCGTCATCGGTGACCACCGCCACCTAATCCCCTCCTTTATCCCAAAAGTAAATCCAATACTCGATGAAACCAAAAATCTCTACCATTAATACTTATATAAAAAACGGAAATAAACTATTAACATAAAACATTATTCAAATCAAATCTTTTTATTCAAATCCATTTTTGAAACCCGATGTCATTTACCAAATAATCTACAGGAACGAAAACCCAAATCCATCCTTAGCTTATTTGATTTCTTGCTAGCACGTGATTTGCAGAAATCCAATAAAAGCATTTAGCATATGCTTTTTGCAGAAATAGGGAGAAAAGAATGAAGTTTACCGATAGGGAAGGACATATCGATGTTGATATTCAGAAATTAATGAGGACCATCGATTTGATATTCAAAAATCAATGAGGAAGGGAGCAATGGATCGTGAAGTAGGAAAAATGGGTGGTGTCGGTTAGTGGTAGCAATAGGGAGACGTGGAAGGTTAATGATAGATGTTATGGTGTCGAGGGGGGGGGGGGGAGAGATAACATTGATGTTACTTCCTGTGTTTCAGAGGAAGAACGAAAGTGAAACTAGTTTCATTAGCTAATTGTTCCTTCGTTAGTGTAGAAACCTCCTGATCTTTGTTTTTTTTTCATTGTTTCACTTTCAAAGAGAGGGTAGATTAAAGAGGTGAATCGATTTCAGAAATAAACCAATTAATGGTAGTAGTGGCTTCGATATACGTTTAATATATGTGGTTGCAGGGAGGGTGTTGCCGGTTTCAATGGAGGTTGTTGCCAATATCAATGGAGGGCAGTCGGAATTGGATGGAGGGTAGTTGCAAGTTTATGGAGAAAACCCCAAATCTAATCTTTGTTGATGCAGGCAAACGAAGGATTGCTATTGGCGTCGATGATTATGAGCTTCACCGATTATTATGGTTTCCGGTCAGAAGAGAGAGGACGAGATAAATAGAGTACTGTGAGCTTGAGGGTGATAATAAATGATGTGAAAAGATAATTGGACGAGGGACTCATATTTTTTATTGTTAATAATATTTTTTAATAGGTTAATATTAAATAAATAATAAATCAATCAAAAAAGAAATAGCCAAGGGTAATATAGTCTTTTTAGACTTACAAGGGATGAAAAACATAATAAAATGAAACAATAGAGATGAAAAAAAAAACCCAAGGACCAAACACACAATTTCACCAAACCACGGGGACCATGTCAATAATTTGTTCTTATTTATATTACAAGTAATTTGTTAGTATATCTTGGGTTATGTTTAACTAAAATCTTTTTACTTTGTTTGTCATAGAAAAATAATGATGTTATATATTTTGACCTTTCATGAGGTTTGAGGAATAATGTTGTATGATTTATTGATGTTTATTTGTGTTTTTTATGTTCATTTAAGTATAATTTTTCGTTTGTCATTATTTATGTTATTTATATTCATTTATATTTGTTAAACATCTTAATAGATATGAAAATATTGATTTTTTAAATGAACATACATAAACACAAAAAATTGTTTGTTTGTTCGGTTAAACTTAAATAAATAAACACAATAAGCCCATGTTCATGTTTGTTTAAAGAGTAAATTAAACGAATGGTCCCTATGGTTTAGGGTAATTTACGTGTTTAATTTCTAATTTTTTTTTTTTTAACTCGGAAGGTCTCTACTGCTTGTTTTTGTTACACGCTTGGTCCCTATCTTATCTAAAAAGATTATTTTTCCTTGATTTTTTAATTTATTTAAATAAATACTCCCCTAACTCCACCCTCTAACATTACCTTGACTATCCTATCATTTTCCATATTTAAATAATAGTTTTTTTAGGTAAGACAAGAACCAAGAGTGTAACAAAAACAAATGGTATGGATCAAGCGCTTAACAAAAACAAACAGTAGGAACCTTCTGAGTTAATAAAATAAATTAGAGACTAAAAACATAAATTACCCCAAACTATAGGAACCATTTGTGTAATTTATTCTTGTTTAAACTCTATGACTAGATGATCAACTCTTATGAAATCGTCTGCCTTTGGGGATGGTTTACCCAGTCCCATACGACTTGTAATTTGTAGGATAACGAGTGTTTTAAACCTACGTCATAAGGACCATTTCTTTATTTTTGTCTACCATATCCGTTCCAATCTCTGTTATCGAAGGGAAAAGGGCTAGCATCATTTCTCCATTGGGTAGAGACCACTTTTGAAATGAAAGATCAACTCTTATATAGACCATTTATATAATTATGTCTTAGACATGGGCCGTCTAACACATGATTGTCAAAATCGCGATCCTGATCGTAGAATCGTACGGTCCTACGATCCTATGTATGAAAAACGATATGGATAGTAAACGGATCATATTTTGAGTAGGATTGTAAGATCGTTGGTAGGATCGTGAAATCAGGATTCGATCAAATCCTACCTTCCCTTGATTTTTTTTTTTTTTTTTTTTTTTTTTTTGAAAATGATTTTTTTTTTACCACTTTATGGCTTTTATCATTTACCAATTTACCATTAATCATTTTGTGTTGTGACTTATAAATAATATTTTGAAGTTTTAATAATGTTTGAACGAAAATTGAATGTTTGAAACATTTTTCATATTTTAAAATTATAAATTAAAATTTTGTTTTATTTTGTGGGATCTTAGGATCCCGATCCCGATCTTACAAACTCAAAAACGATCATACGGATGATGTCGATCTTGACAACCTTGGTCTAACATATATAGACTACTTATATAATTATGTCTTAGACATTGATCATTTCTGTAACTTTATTTTACAGCTACCATTTTTATAATTTTGTTTCAAATATTGCTTGTTACATAAGTATCTTTTCTTTAAATATTTTTCTCAAAGATAGATCATTTCTATCATTTTGTTTACCTACAATAGCAATCACTTTGGTAAATGTTATATAGTATAAAACATATGCTTGAAGTTTATCATTGACTAGTTATCGGTTTATGTTTAACAAACTAATTGAAAAATTAGTTGCTAACTGATTATAAACGATATTTGATAAATAAGCTGGTAAAAAATGATTTTTTAATAAAACTAGGTTATAAGCTAATTATGAAATGTAAAATATAATTAGGGATGTCAATTAGAGTAAAATGGGACAAAAATAACTGCCCCCAATTTTTTTTGTTTCCCCCAACCCCAACTTCACATGCCCCCAAATTTCAAGATTGTAATTTAGTCCGCTAAACCATATTGCTTTGGAGCGTGTAAATAATAACTTTTCGTTTATATATGTAAAAAGATGAGAACAGAATAAGTCCATTTACGACTTTCAATGATCAATAAAGAATTCATAACTTACTTTCACCAATATACACATAAACCGCAAAACAAACTCAAAGCCAACTTACTAATCAATAATTCTTCTACATCTCAAAAATAAAAAACGTAAATCAAAACCAAAAAACACTAAAAATAGTCAAGTAACCAAATTATTCTATGAAAAAAAGTCACCTAACAATTCTTCTCGCTTCTCAATACCTCTTAGCAAAACCACCACCACCACCACCCTACCAAAACCAGTGGCAACTGGCACCGCCTGAGGCTCAACCATCGCCTTCACAACCCCAGGGAGGTCACCCATCCCAAGGGCAACCAACATATCAATCGTATCCTTATCAACCTCAATCAGATCGGTTTTAATGGCAGATTCATCAGACACAAAGTCCATACGTCGTTCCCTTTCTTCCTCCTGGAGCTTTAATGATATACCTCTCACTGGTCCCTTTTGGATACGCTTCATGAGGTGAGTTGAAAAACCTGCAATCTTATTCCTCAGACGCTTCGAAGGGATGATTGCAACTTCCTCCAAAATCTTCTTGTTTGTATGGAAATCCATAGTCATCTTCCCGTAAATACCTCTCAATCACTACCCTAGATGATTTCTTCACAGTTTTCGTACGAACACGACCCATCTTTCAGCTCCTTCTAAATCAGTATGATCAATGAATCTGAAACTATCAATAACAACTAATAATCCTTATGCTTTTCGGCTTTTGGTGATGCATTGTAATTGACTAACTGTATTTGGAACTTGGAAGAAAAGAAATCTTCAGGGCATTATCATTCCACACGTAACAATTATTCGATTAATTATATAATGTTGATTACAGAGACTAAGAATCGACCCCTAACCTACCATTTCGAAGCATCGAAACAGATCACAACCAACTATAGTATAGGATTAGAAGTAATCAACTTCTTGTACGAAACTAGAAAGTCGAATGTGAGTAGCAATATTGTTAGAGCTGTAATTATATGGCGGGTAATGAAGGATGAGTTACATACCTGTGGCGGTTGTTCCGGTGACGAACAGCAGCGAACTCCCCCTCTCTGGTGGCAAATAGGTTATCTAGGTGTGTGTTAATGAAACCAAAACCCTACACATTATCTTAAGACAAAACTGCAAAATTGGTCCTTGTGGTTTTTGATAAAATGTGGATAAGGTCCAAAAAGTTTCCAACTTGCATGGAAGGTCCAAAATTAAGATTTTTCTGTGGTTTTGGTCCTTAAAAAGTTGAAATGACTATTTTGCCCTTATTATTTCTATTTGCATTTTTATTTCTTTTAATATTTAAATAATTATTTAAAAAAGAACAAGAAAAAATGGGTCCACCCCCACCAATTCCCTCTCTCACACACATGCATACATACACACACAATAATTTTCTCCTCGGATCTTCTTCCCCATATTTCATCTTCAATCCATTTTGTTGTATCTTCCATAATTTAGAAAACATGGTTCAAAAGCTTTGATGGGCATCTATTGAAATTTCTTGGCGCTTCCACTTCACGACGGTGTTTTTGATGGGTGTCTGTATCTTCCATAAATGGGAAAACTAGCCACCATCGCCACCTGTTGAAACCACAAGTCTGCAACATGCCTCAAAGCTTTGATGAGCATCTAAAGATCTCGACCCCTAGCTATATTTTCTAGAGAGAGAGGGTTTCAGGCAGACTAAGCCATTGCCATCGAATCTGTATCAAACAACCTTCATCTGGTAAGCCACCTCTGAAATTGCACCAGGAGATCAAAAACACCACAATGAAGCCATAACTGTAGTGATCAGCTTTAATCCTCCAGTAGCTTCTATAATTTGATGAACCTCGATTATAACCTTGTGAAATTGCACCATGAACCCTCATCGACCAACAATGGGTTTTCTAATTCCTTACACCTTCGATCCCATCAAGTTTGATTTTTTAGCATTTGATTTTTACTTCCCGAATCATGATGTTTTTTCATCACCATCATCCTACTAAATATTGATTTCAGGTATCAAATTTGGATTTGATTTTAGGTTTTAATTTATGGTTTTGATTTTAGGTGGAGGATGATATCAATGATTTTAGGTTGAGTTTAAATCCATATCCAAATCTTGATGTTTTCTCTTTAGATCTTCTGTTGGTTCCTCCAACCATCGATTTGTTTGTGTTTATGTTAACCGTCAGCCCTAAAATACCCATAAATCGATTTGTTTCTTTCTGATGTCATCGATTGAGATATAACAGATTCATCTCCATGGAAATAACTCTTATATTTTCAAAATATACATAGATTAATGAGGATAATATACATAGGAAATGTATGTGTGAGATTTGATTTGTAGTTGAGAATGAGAAAGAAGACTGTGTGTGTGTGTGTGTGAGAGAGAGAGAGAGTTTGATAGATAGATAGGAGAGGGTTACTGATGGGGCGAGGTGGGTGGGATTTAATTTTTTATATAATTAATGAAATAGTAAAATAAATTAAGAAAAATGTAAAAAATAAATAATAAGGGCAAAACCATCATTTTAAGTTCTCTTTGGACCAAAACCACTAAAATTTCTTAATTATGGGACCAAAATCACGAAAAATTCTTGATTTTGGATCTTTCATGCAAGTTAAAAAATTTTTGGATTCTATCCACAGTTTTTCGAAAACCATATGGATCAATTTTGCAGTTTTGTCTAGGGGGCAAAGTTGTAATTTAAGGGAACTCGAAAAAATGTTGTTTCTGCCCTTGTAAAACAATATTAGCTAAATTAAGGCCAAAACTACAAAAACCCATTTTTAAAAATTACTATATTATTTTTTAAATATTAAATTTATTATTTTACAATTCTAATTTAAATTTTCCATCTTAAAAAAACTTAATATATTTTCATCTAACGTTAAAACAATCAGTCTATTAATTTTTTAATATGTTCAAACTTTTATTTTTTTGAAAATTTTTAATATAAAAAATTATAACAAATAAAACCTTAGAGAGCGAGTTAGCTAATATTTGTAGCTGTTTAGGTTTATAGTTTAAAATGTTTGATAGTGTTAAAAAATATAAAAAACTTAACGCATTGAATGACTTTTTTTTTTTTTTTTTTTTTTTTTTTTTTTTTTAAATTTATTTTTAAATCGGATGAAAAAATGTTCGGATAATTTTTTCTAAAAACTCTTGGGTCTTGTACAAAAAAGTTCCAATCGAGACATACTTTGTTTGGAAACGTCACATTATGACAACTTTAGGTAACACGAAGGGTTGAAACTGCAAATAATAATATACTCACTTCACTTCAAATCAGAAATTCAAAATTAGCGGGAGCAATTCTTCACCATCTCCAAGTTCATTCTAACATGTCTGCCCACCGAAATCCATAAAGAATCAGGATGACTTCACCTCCGAGTCATAGAATACACCGAAGATATTCAATCTCACGTGTGTTCTTCTCAAGCATGGATCAAATTTTGCTTTAGATTCTCTATTTGAAAATCCCTATTTCAAAACCCTAAATCGATAAAGAATGGATCGAGTAGTGTGTCCCGAAAATGCAGAGCTTGTGGAGTTCATGTTGAAAAAACAAAAGGAAATGGTGGATTTATCGGAGAATAACGTTAAGACGATATCGAAGGCCTGCTTGAAGGTGTGCAGTTCCAAGACACCAATCAAAACCCTAAAGGACTTCTCCAATGTCAAGTAACGATCACTTTTCACCATATAAGCTTTTATGTATTTGCTGTGAATCCGAAGTTTTCTCCAAATAATTGCGTTTATCTTGTACTACTCCACTGTTGTAGAAAATTATAGGGTAATTTGACTGTGAATGATATCAAGCAACTTCTTTTTTAATTGTGTCAGAGGTGTTGGAAATTGGATCTTGAGAATCATGAAAGGTTTCTTTGTCGATGAAGCTGAGAACGAAGAGATAATAGAAAGTGGTAATTCACACTTCCTTTTGTTACCTTGCAGTTAGCTCTTGTTTTCATTCTCTATAATCTCTATCTATTTAACACTATAGGGAAAAGAAAAAAGGGAAACAAGCAATATGTGCCTCAAAAAAACTCTGCAGCTTATGCTTTATTGATCACTCTTTACAGGTAATCATAACATCTTTCTCCTTCTTACCTTTTTGTGTAACATTGGTCTAACAACATCAGTTCTGATGTTAGGGGAACATCTAATGGAAGTAATTTTATGCGAAAACAAGAGCTAATTGATGCTGCTGAAGCAAGTGGATTGTCTCGTGCACCTATAATGTATGTATTTACTTTTCTACCCCTCTGTCTTGTACTTTAGTACTTATACTGATCTTTTTATGGTTAAAGGCCTGAAATAGGAAAGGGAAAAGCAGGCCAGTTTGGAGTTAGCTCAGGCAGGGATTGGTATAGTGGATGGAATTGCATGAAAAAATTGATAGATAAAGGGTTGGCTGTAAAATCAAGTAATCCTGCAAAGTAACTACATTTTGGCTTTTTTATATTTTTATTTATTCTTCTCATATTTAAAAAAAATAGCATGATAAGTTGTGGTTTTGGAACCTTTTGTATTTTAGATACATGCTGACTGAGCAAGGAAAAGAAGCTGCACGTGATTGTATGTTGAGATCTGGATTAATTGATTCTACAGATGATCTTGCTACTTTGGATAAAAGTAAAACTTCAGATTCAACTCAAAAAAATCTGAAAGATTCAGCATGCATTGATGCTGAGTTGGTTGATGACGTGGCATCTAGGCATGTTTCTTCAAGTTTGCAGAAAAAACCATTTGAGATTCCTCCAGATACTCTTGATAAGGTAAAGTGTCTTGTTTTTCTCATGAACAAACACACCCTTTCTTTTCTTTGATGACTATTTTGGGTAGTACTATGATTTAAAAAAAAAAATTTAATTTTTATTAATTTCTGCAGCTTGTGAGAATGGGATACTCAAAAGAACAAGTAATCCGTGCTTTTTCTGAGGTCTCAAAAAAGTCACCAAACGAAGAACCTTCTTCACTTTGGCTATCTGTTTTATGTTGTCTTCGTGAAGTTGAAGTCTACAGTTCACCTTTGACCAATGTTCCAAAAGTCAAACATCATCATCATCATCCATCATCAATTTCTTTCACTCATAAAGAAACTACACAACTCCCGACTCCAATCAAACCTTGTTCATCATCTGTAAATGTCGACCTAACTTTTTACAAAATCTTGCATCTTTTGAATTCGTAAGAATAGTGTTGTTTTATTTTTAATGTTTTGTTATAGGACCAAAATACGAGGAAGAGAAGTAGGAATGTTCTAGAAGCTAAATCAAATGTTCTATCAATGCCACCTTTGACACTTGGGGACCGCTTCGAGGATGTATATGAAGTGGTTTTAATATTAGATGATCGGGAAAAATTCACCAAAGAGTTAGTAATTATTTCAAACAATTTTTTTTTTTTTTTTTTAAATATTTTTTTATCATGCAAAGTAGTTTTCAAACTAACTAATTTTCAGGTCAAGGTCTAGAAAGCTTCTTGAGAATATCCGACTCCATTTTAAGATACCAATAGAGGTATAAATCAGATCTGACTCAGTCAGCAACTATCAAACAGTCTGTTATTAATATATTAATTATTTTTTTTTATAGGTGAGGCGATTACCTGTTGGAGATGGAATTTGGATAGCGCGACATAAACATATTGGTAGTGAATATGTTCTTGATTTTATTGTTGAAAGAAAAAACGTTGATGATTTAAGATCTTCCATTAGAGATAATCGTTACAAAGAGCAAAAAGTTCGGATCATGGTGATGTTTCTGAGTAATTTTTTATTTATTTGAAGCTATTTGTTTAAAAAATTACTTTCTAATTTTATTATTTTCTTTTGTCATAAAGAGGTGTGGGCTTAAAAGGTTGATATACCTAGTAGAAGGCGATCCGAATGCTTTGGAAAGTGCTGAAAGTATTAAAACAGCGTAAGTAAATATATTTTTTTTGCTTTTTATAAAATATTATTATCTTATTTATAATGATTTCTTTTTGTGTGAATAATATTTGTAGATGTTTGACAACCGAAATTTTGGAGGGGTTTGATGTACAGAGAACAAGTGGGTTGGGAGACACACTAAGAAAATACGGTTATCTTACTCAATCAATAACGCAATATTACAAATCTCTTGGCAATGAGGGGGAACATGTGGATTTCCCAATTTGCCCTCCGTTTGATCAGTTTATTGAGAGGTGTCAAGAGTTGGATAAGATGACAGTTAGTGATGTTTTTGCCACCCAACTCATGCAGGTATAAAAAAAATTATTTTTATATATAAAATTTTGCTACATTATTTTTTATTTTTTAGTTAATTAATTAACAAAGTTTGCAGGTTGCACAGGTGACTGAGGATGTTGCGATTGCTGTGCTTGATTTATACCCAACGGTTTCATCACTTGCTAGTGCCTACTCAGATCTTGTAAGTTTTCCTTTTATTTATTTATTTATTTATTTAAATAAGGGTGAATTTGTAAAATGTTAGGAGATAATGGGGAGTTTTACTTGTTATATCAAAAGAAAACAGTCATGTATGTGAATGGTGATTAATGATATTGGGTTGTTAGGATGGTGACACGTGTGCACAAGAGGAGCTGCTGAAGAAGCAGAGTAACAATGTCATCAGTGGAGTTGCTAGTAGGAACATTTTCCAATTTATTTGGGGTGGTTGATTAGATGTGATGTGAAAGCGAAAAGAAATGAAATTTTGTGGGTGTTTTATTTTTGTAGTAATGTAAAAAAACGACTTAATAAAGACAAGTGCGAAAATTAGACTTTCTGCTGTAAGTTTATAAAGGGAATAGGACTTGTTAAGGTAATTAACTTTTCGGGCTTTTAACATATAGGTAACTATTTTTTTTTTGTACACATTTAGGTAACAAATTTTTTGGAACTGTTCACATATGACCATTATGATCTGTTGTAGCAGGTTACATCTAGCTACAGCAGGTCATAATGGTTATATGTGAACAGTTTCATTAAGTTCGTTACCTATATGTGTACAAAAAAAATAGTTACCTAAATATGAACAAAACCAAAGGTAAGAGTAAATGACATGAATGGTCCTTATGGTATAGGGGAATTTGTGCATTTGGTCCATAACTTATTCTTTTTAACTCGGATGGTCTATACTGTTTATTTTTTGTTGCGCGCTTAGTCCTTGTCTTATCTAAAAAGATTATTATGCCGTTATTAATTTATTTTTTTAATTAATTTTCTTATTTATGTTTTTTTTATATGTTTAAAAAAGTTAATAGATCCTACATATCTGTATCTCCTCATCGTAAATCTGAAACCACATATGAGAAATTTAATTTGAGTCCCACCGGTCACCATCCTATCTCATATCCTCTTTAACTTCTATTTTCTTTCAATCTTTAGTGATATGGAAGTTTTCACCATCTTTTTTTTTTTTTGTCTTTCAACTCTGGCGAACAAACACTATAACCCACGGTCTCTTCACACTATTGGGTTGTGGTGTTGGTTCGTTGAAGTTGAAGGACCGAAAAAGAATAGATGGTGAAAACTTCATTGTCATTAAATATGGAAAAGAAATAAAAGTTTAGGATGATGAAAGATAGGATGGTGAGGAGATACAGATATATGAAGTCTATTAGTTTTTTTAAACATATAAAAAAAATACATAATTAAGGAAATTAATTTAAAAAAATTAAATTAATAAGGACACACTAGTCTTTTTAGATAAGACATGGACCAAAAACAACAAAACAAAACAGTAGGACCATCCGAATTAAAAAAATAAGTTAGGGACCAAATATATAAATTCCCCCAAACCATAGGGACCATTCGTGTAATTTACTCTTACTTTTGGTTTTGTTCATATTTGGGTAATTATTTTTCTTTTGTACACATCTGGGTAACGAACTTGTTGAAAGTGTTCACATGTAACCATTATGATCTACTGTAACCGGAGGTAACCTGCTATAGCAGGTCATAATGGTCATATGTGAACAATTTCAAAAACTGTTACCTAAATGTGTACAAAAAAAAGATAATTATCTACATGTGAACAAACCGAAAAATTAGTTACCTTAATTAGTCTTATTCCCATTTATAAAATCTGAAAATACTAGTATGTGTAGAAGAATAAAAAAGGAAAATGCTCGTTTTTTAGCATAATTATTTATTTAGTTACCTTGAAACTTTACTCAACTACAATGGTTGCAACATAGATAATATATTCATCGGTTCAAAATATATATATATATATATATATATATATATATATATATATATATATATATATATATATATATATATATATATATATATATTCACATATTTTTGTTGGTGAAAAAGACCTAATTATTACCCTTTCTAAATCTGACAGGTTTAATAAATAATTAGATATCTACAATTCTGTCATCTTTCATTATCTCATGAAAAGCTTTCAACATCTTTTTCCTTTCCTATACGAATTGATCACCACATATGTGTTTTTACTTTTCTGCTTTATGTGCATGCTTAGCTGTATTTAAAAAAAAAAAAAAAAAACGGCTAACATCTGCTTTTATTTTGTGTTTTGTATACGTAAGGGGTACACGTTCTAATTTGCAATTTTTTTTTTTTTTTTTTTTTTTTTTTTAAATTAATATCAGTATATGATTGTAAATCGTAAAGCCTTTATCAAAACATCATTTTCTAGTCCCCAATGTCTTTATATTGCTTCATTATGTGTTTTTTATTTTGAAGTCTTGATTAGTCGTGACATCTATCAGATTTTCTGATCAACAAATAGGTAGAAAACCGAAAAGAGGTTTGGCAAACTTTTTGTGAAATATCCTATGTGTCACTATGAATTTGTGGAACAACTTTAACAGTTAAAAGATGTAATAGATATGGACAAAAAGTGCATTCGCTTATAATATGTGAAACTCATTTGGTTAGGTTCCTTGGTAAAAGGTAGAACTTACAATGGGATTGCCTTCATCTTTAAGAGAATGTCACAATGATTTGAATGTGAGATGCAATTTAATTTATGTAAAGAGAAATAATATGTCTCACATAGGTTTGAGAGTAAAATTTTATCGAGTTTATACACAAAGGATCCATTATCATCCAGATGAACGGTGGGTGACCAATTATGGTATGACACATGTTGAACTTTCTATTTGGTGACTTCATTTTTACTCGCCATTTTATTTCGTTGATAATTTAATACATCAAAGCTAACTTAATGTAATAAAAAATGATGTGATTTAAAAAAATATATTATAATTAATAATGATATGATTCATAATGTAAAGAAAAAAAAACAAAAAAATATAATCCAATTTGATTGGCGATGAGAAGAAAACATAAGGTACCATCTAAGGAAATATTTTGGAACAATAAAATTTCAGCAACATGGATCGTTGTGACTGGCCAGAACTTAGAGACAAGATTAGTGTTTTTGAGTTATTAAGTGATGTGTAATTAGCATGACAAAAAAACGATATTGTCTTCATCTTCATGACCAATCAAAATTATAAAAAAAATAAGGGGAAGTTTTGTGACGTGAGATGAGATCTACAAATCAAGTTTGTAACCTGATATATACGAGTCTTTTTAGTCAACAGTTTAATCAAAAACATGTTTTTAGAAAGTGTAATCTAGATACGAATCGTTGAATTAAATGTTTTAAATTGAGCGATAATCAAATGAGTCCTTTAATCATTGAATTTTTGTGAAATTGAGCCACAAAAAAGAGTTGACTTTGAGGGGTAGTCATGTTTTGACCAAAAACAATTACCTAAAAATTGTTCCCTTTTTGTCATGTGAACCATCTTCAAAAGTTGATGGACTACATAACACACAATAAAGGGATCAATGCAACCCACTATACAACTTGACCAAATTTAATTCTATTCTTACCCCTCATATCTCTATCAACAAAATAATAATTAAAAAAAAAAGTAAAAAAAGTCAAAGGTCAACTTTGGATTTTTAGAGTTTGATCCTCTAAGTCAATTGATTCCTTCACCATTTCAACATTCTTTTGACAAACAATCCCATCTTCCTCACCATCAAAGCTAGCATGAACACTATATAGAACATATACAAGCACCACAACTGCTGAAAAAAATCCAAACCGAATATAAGAAGCTGTGTCGATATTTCCCAACAGAAATATGTTGAGAAATATCGATACACATGGTATCCATGGCATAAGCGGGACCCCCCAAAAATCAGGCTTTCTCGCTTGTGGGACCATGTAACTAAACAACTGTATCAATCCAACTCCAATTATAGAACATGCACCGAGCATAAACCCTTTGGGTTTCCCGGGCGGTGCGAACCACCATAGCAGGGTGAACATGATGGAAGTGAATGAAAAGCTTAACAAGAACGACAGTGTGGGCCATGGGGTTGTGGTCCCCAGTGAGACATATCGTCTGTAAATGACTGCGTTTGAGACCATTAAGAAGACAAAAAGTGTTCCGATGGAGACAAGGTTGAGGAGGACGTGTAGCTCGGTGAATAGCGCTATCGCCGCAGTCAAAATCCCTAAAAGTCAACATACGTAGTATTTAGTCAAAAAAAATCTAGAAAATTATTTCAAAAGGAATCAAGGATTATCTAAACATATGGGACGACAAACAAAATCTTAAAATTCACAAAAGATTTAGGACAAGTACATTAAGAAGTTGTCCAAGGAAAGTTAACTAGTTAAGGGAAGAGTATAAGTCAAATTTTTTAAGACATTAAAAGAATGGATCTAATTTAGTGGTTGTAAAAAGAAGGAATTCACAAGACCCACATGATGGAGATATGATAAGATAGGATTTTGGGGATCACATAGATTTTCAAAGAAAACACCAAACTTTAGAACATGATTCTTGAGGGAAAGTCTTCATGAAACTAGTTTCGAGAGCATATGCTTTAGTAACTAATTATGTATCGAGTATTCTTCCAATTAATATTACCTTTCTTTTTCAAGATTCTTATACCCATTTGCATGTTAGTTAATAGAAATAACATAGATTGTCACCAATCATATACACAAATCATAATCTTTAATGTTTAATTATCTATAACATCACAAAAGTATCATAGATGCGTATCGAATGTGACTTCTTGAATATTTTATAGTTATAAATGTTAATACTTTTATATAATACATCACACTTGTTGTCTATTGCTTGGTGTATTATCTGGCTATGTTTAACTATGTCTCAAGAACATATAATAATAGGATTTTTTTTTTATTAGAGTACAAATGTACAATGATAGTACACTTAATGTACCAAGTATACTATATATTTTAATTAAATGGGATATAAATTTGAAAAATACATGAATTCATCTTTATATATGTAAGACAATTATAGAATATATTATAAAGATTGGATCACAGAATTCCAAAGCCTTTTATTTTATATTCCATGAACTTCATAAAACTTGGTATGAACAAGACCATATGCTCCCCAACCAAAACGGTTCATATGGGACCAATTTCCCACACGGCCTAACTTTCTACAGATATTATTTTATTGCATATTTATATTTATATATATATATTTTTTTATCATATTCGTAGTGTAAAGTGATACCTTCTTAAACAATTAAGACAATTTTGATACTTCTAAACAACGATTTCTTTATGTAAAGAATGAAAAACCCACTTTTCGTTGTGCACTTGATTAAGCCCGAGGTGTCGAAAGATATATTACGTTTTATTAACATATTTCTTTTCTAATTTGTAAAGTAAACTACTTTTTTGAACAAAATAGGACAAGCATCCTTTCAATTCTTTATTTTCACAACAAAAAGATACTTTCGTCTTTCTTTAAAATAATAAAATCGATTATATGTGATTGGAAAAAAAGATAC